CTATCAAAAAGTGTAAACTTTCGTCAAAGGTATAAGTTTTTAACAAAATGTGTAAACTTTATCAAAACATATTTTCCATAAAATGTGTAAATTTTCAAAAAATGTGTAATTGTCTTCACAAAATATGTAACTTATGTCAGAAAATGTGTAAATTTTGTTTTCAAAAAAGGTGTAAGTTCAATTAAAAGGTGTAAATTTTTTTAAAATTTTTGTTCCACAAAAGGAGTAATTTTTCAACAAAGGAGTAAGTTTTTTAAAAAATGTATGAACTTGATGAAAAGATGTTTTCTATAGAAGGTGTAAATTTTTAAAAAAGTGTAAATTTATTCATAAAAGGTGTAAGTTTTGATTTAAGAAAAGGTGTAATATCCAATAAAATATGCAAATTTTATGGAAAAAGTTCTTCCACCAAAGGAGTAACCATTCAAAAAAGGTTTAAGTATTTCCACAAGGTGTAAACTTTCATAAAAGTTTATGAAAGGTGTAAACTATAAGTTTTTAACAAAAGGTATAAATTTTATGAAAATATTTTTCCCATGAAAGGTGTAAATTTTCAAAAAAGTTGTAAATGGTTTCACAAAAGATGTAAGTTATGTCACAAATGGTGTAAGTTTTGTTTTCAAAAAAGGTGTAAGTTCCAATTAAAGGTGTAAATTTTGTGGAAAAAATTATTTCACAAATGCAATAACTTTTCAGAACAGATGTAAGTATTTCCACCAATAGGTGTAAACTTTCTGAAAATGTGTAAGTTTTTAACAAATGGTGTAAACTTTATGAAAATATATTTTCCATACAAGCTGTAACTTTTCAAAAAATGTGTAAATGTTTGCACAAAATATGTAAGTTGTGTCAGAAAAGGTGTAAATTTCAATAAAATGTGTAAATTTTATGGAAAAAATACTTTCACAAAAGGAGTAACTTTTCAGAAAATGTGTAAGTATTTCACCCAAATGGTGTAAACTTTCAAAAAATGTGTAAGTTTTTAACAAAAGGTGTAAACTTTATTCAAACATATTTTTCATAAAAAGTGTAAATATTTTTAAAAAATATATAAGTTATGTCACAACTGGTGTAAGTTTTCTTTTCAGAAAATGTGTAAGTTCCAATAAAAAATGTAAATTTTATGAAAAAAAACTATTTCACAAATGCAGTAACTTTTCACAAAAAATGTAAGTATTTCCACTAAAATGTGTAAACTTTATGAAAACATATTTTCCTTAGAGAGTGTAACTTTTCAAAAAATGTGTAAGTGTTTGCCCAAAATATGTAAGTTATGTCACAATAGGTGTGAATTCCAATAAAAGGTGTAAATTTTATGGAAAATATGATTTCACAAAAGGTATAACTTTTCAAAAAATAAAGGTGTAAGTTTTTAACTAAATGTGTAAACTTTAATCAAACATATTTTCCATAAAAGGTGTAAATATTTTTAGAAAAGATGTAAGCTATTTCACAAAAGGTGTAAGTTCTAATAAAAAGTGTAAATTTTCTGAAAAAAATTGTTTCACAAACGGAGTAACCTTTCAGAAAAGGTGTAAATATTTCCACTAAAAAGTGTAAACTTTCAGCAACGGTGTAAGTTTTGGACAAAAAGTGTAAACTTCATGAAAACATATTTTTCATAGAAGATGTAACTTTTCAAAAAAACGTGTAAATGTTTGCACAAAATATGTAAGTTACGTCACAAAAGGTGTAAGTTCCAATAAAATGTATAAATTTTATGGAAAAACTAATTTCACAAAATGAGTAACTTTTCAGAAAATGTGTAAGTGTTTCCCCCAAAAGGTGTAAACTTTTAGAAAAAGTGTAAGTTTTTAACAAAAGATGTAAACTTCATTCAAACATATTTTTCACAAACGGTGTAAATATTTTTAGAAAAGATGTAAGTTATGTCACAAAAAGTGTAAGTTCTAATAAAATGTGTAAATTTTCTGAATTTTTTTTTTCACAAACGGAGTAACTTCTCAGAAAATGTGTAAATATTTCCACTAAAAGGTGCAAACTTTCAGAAAAAGTGTAAGTTTTTAACAAAATGTGTAAATTTTATGAAAACATATTTTTCATAGAAGGTGTAAATTTTTTCACACAAGATATAAGTTATGTGACAAAAAGTGTAAGTTCTGTTCTCAGAAAAGGTGTAAGTGCCAATAAAATGTGTAAATTTTTTTAATAAAATTGTTTACAAAAGAAGTAACCTTTCACAAAAGGTGTTAGTATTTCAACGAAAACGTGTAAATTTTACAAAATAAATTATTTCACAAAATGTGTAACCTTCCACAAATAGTGTAAGTGTTTTCACAAGAAATGTAAGTAACTTCACAAAATGTGTAAGTTTCGTTTCTTCACAAAACGTGTAAGTTCCTAAAATCCAATCAAACTGTATTTGCATTGTTCAAATAATGGCAATGTGTGAGAGAATGGGCGTTTGGGATGGCTTGGTCTTTCTCTCACTACAAGTCCGTTTTAGAGAAGAGACATTTGGAGGGGCTTGGAATAGCGAGTCCAAGTCCAAATCCAACCAAGTATCTCAATGTAAAAGAGAACCGTTTTTAATATAGAGGAAGGGAGAGAGACCGAGATCGACAAACAAAGAGACCGAAATGGACAGTGATCGACAAAGAGAGATAGACCGAGATCGACAAAGAAAGACGGACCGAGATCGACAGAGAAGAGACCGAGATCGACACAGACAGACCAAGATCGATAGAGAGAGACCAAGATCGATAGAGACAGATCGAGATAGACAGGGATCGACAGAGATCGGCAGAGAGAGAGACCGACATCGACAGAGAAGAGGCCGAGATCGACAGAGAAAGAGAGATCGGCAGAGAGAGAGACCGACATCGACAGAGAAGAGGCCGAGATCGACAGAGAAAGACCGAGATCGATAGAGAGAGAGAGAGAGAGGGAAAAAAAAACCTTTGATTTGCGACAGTGGCGGTGGCCGTAGCGATGGCGATGTCAGATGGCGGTGAGCAATGGAGGTCACCGACGCTTGGGTGGTCAACGGGGGTTAGGATTGGTGGTGACTATTCTGTGTGCGTGTGAAAGAGAATAGAGAAAGTATTGGTAGGAAACAAAGAAGATGGGGGCCGATAGTAATAAAATTTTCAACCTTTAGCGACTAAACTATTATTTGTCGCTAAAATTTAGACTTTTTGTTAGAACTTACAACTTTTGTATAAAAAAAAAAATTATACCCTTTTTCTGAAACGTTACACCTTTTGTGAAAAATTTTCTAAACTTATACTTTTTCGTAAAAATACTTATACCATTTTGTGAAAATTTACACCCATTTCTAAAAATATTTACACATTTTACACCTTGTGTAAAATTAGTTACACATTTTCTGAAACCCATTACATCTTTTCTGAAACGTTACACTTCTTATGACCTTTTATGCAATTATTAATATATTATATTATTTTATTAATTTACGTGGAAAGTGACCCGCTTAACTGGTCACCAATGTATAAACTTTTAAAAAATATCGTATAACCCAATACAGAAAAAGTGTAAATGCGAAATAGAAAGGGTGTAAATGCCTTGCATACCATATGCAAGGCACACCTAAGAAAAGTCCATGAAAACTAATCCTGTGCACAATCTCATGGTATCCAATCCCATCTAAATTAATTCTGCAACCAAACAAAGCCTTAGGGCACTGTTAAAAAACTGATTCTGAGGCTATATCTCTCTGATCCAAACTTTCGGTCCAAATGTTTTAGTTCAACGACCAAATCATTTGAAGGGCACCCAATTCAACAAGCAGAGAATTGAATTCTGGCTGTCATACGACTCTTTGTCGTCACAAACAAGAAAAAGCACGACACACAAAGATGTCATTCAAAACGAAGAGGAAGGATAGGGATCATGAAAAAAAATGTCATAAAGATGATCATGAAACATTCTTTACCTTTGGATTACATATATAATAAAACACAACACACTAATCAAATAATGAAAAATCTTTATAATGCATTTCATAATATTTTTTTCACGATTCTTAATTTTACTCCAAAAAGAATGTCTGCGTCTATAACCTACACCAATTCCTCTATATTGAAAAAAGAAAAGAATACAAGGTGACTGCTTGTGTAGACAATAATATTTACGCTACAGTTTACATAAATAGATTATCGTAATACCTTTAGGGCATGTTTGATTGGAAGGATTAAAGTATGGGATTAGGATTATTAATCCGTGGACCCAATCATCCTATGTTTGTTTTGACATTTTGGTTTAAGACTATTAATCCAATGGATAATTAATCCAACAAATTTGTAGGATTATTAGTAAGGGGGTAGGGGTGGGATAGTTAATACCACACTAATTTAATAGGATTATTAATACCTCACTATTAGTATGGTGGCATGTTTGATTGGATGTATTAGAGCATGGGATTGGGATTATTAATCCGTGGGGCCAATTATCCCATATTTGTTTTAACATTTGGGTTTAGGACTATTAATCCAATGGATAATTAATCCAACAAATTTGTAGGATTATTAGTAATGGGGTAGGGGTGGGATTATTAATCCAATGGATATTAATCCAATTGGATAATGAATACCACACTAATTTAATAGGATTATTAATACTTCACTATTAATCTTGTGAATCAAACATGACCTTATGCCCTGAATATAGAGGACAGTTAAAAACATGAGGATCCCACCTTTTTAATATCATTTGTTTGGTTACAAGATTTGAAATCCAACGGCATACTACACTCATCCAATATCCAACGGTAAAAAATAACCACTCCCCTCTTATCGCATACTATATTTTATCCTAGCCGAACATAATAAATTGACTCCAATTATATCTAATCCATCTCATATTCTAAGTATATTATATCTCATATCCCTAAATATTACAAACCCTCCTCACTTCCTTATATCTAATCCTCACAATCAAATAGGACTTAGTACTCGAAAGTAATTCAACTGCGTGGTGAAATGTACAGTAGTAACCAGAGTCCACAAACCCAACACCAATGACAAACAGCCAACAAATAATTTCAACATAAAACCAACAACACATCGATTTACAGAGACAAAGGAAACTAATAGAAGAGGCAGAGATGTTCTTTTTTCACCCCTCCCCAATAAATAGTTTCTTTATGCAGAGTCTAGGTACAGAAACTGAAACATCATGTACATATACAAACACTTGAGAGAAGCAGAGAGGCTACGGATCCACAGGCCCTGCCATTGCCTCATCGCTAGATTCGTACTCGTCTTCACTCATCTCCTCGTCATCACTAGATTTCTCTTCTGGAGCAGCTCCCACGTCTTCTGGTTTCGCATATTTCTGACAGAATTCTGGATGATACAGCAGCACAGCAATGACAGTCAAAATTCACATTTAGTTGCTCATGCTCAGCATTTTTTGGTGTTTGGTACAACGGAAAATGAAAGTCTAATGGGAAAAAAACCTATTTGAGCAGAAAATGTTTTCCAGAATTCTTTGAGAAAACAATTTTCTACTCCTTCGACGTCTAAAAATGACTAGTTTTTGGTTCAAATAACTATTTTGCAATGCCTAGAAGTTGAAGATATACAAAATGCAATTCATAGAGTACAAGCCAAAGAACCATGAACTATTCATTACATCGATTGAATCCTCTTAACTTCTTATGTATTACCATAGACATAGCAACTCACTCCAGCCTATCTGAACTAATCTCATATTTTCCACACAAGGATGGAACTTTAGCCCCTTTACCCTAGAATTTTAGACTCAAAGAGGAAACATGATTAAAACGTCATTATAAACCATCCATAATTCATAGGTTTCCAAAAAGCAAGTCCATATATTATCCGTAATCCATCATGCATTATTCTAGATGGGCTCATCCCACAAATCCCATTTCAAGCCCTAAATGTAAATTAAACCCTGAAAAATCATCTACTCCAATTTAGTAATTTCAAACACATTAATGAGGGTGAACATCTTCCCAAATAACTTTTTTTTCTATAATGGATATGCTAGTGGGACGTACATAATTTTGGTCTGCCTAACAAGATATGAGCTTCTTATTTTAAAACCATTAGAATCAATTCCAATCAAACAAATTAGAACCTAGTTTTAATATGTTTTCGAACCAAAAGTCATAGCCAAAAGTTAAATCACTGCTCTTCTGACTTTTTACCTTGTTCTGGAAACAACTGACACAATACAGGCCGCAAGCAAAATCAGCACATAATGCTGCATTAAGCACTTAAGAGAGTTTTTAAGATTGATTACAACAAGCAGCGTTGTTTTGTTTGTATAAGTATAATAACCAAAGGGCATTAACCCCTTTCTTTTCTAGCCTCAAAATTTGTTTCACAAATTATGAATTTAAAGTTTGCATTCAAGACTACCCTTCTTGAGCTTGGAAATGAATTGGTTCAAAGCTGCATGACATGAAAGATTGGTCAACAATTGGCATCAGCAAAAGCTTGTTGCTTTTCAAAGCAAAATATTTCATTTCCCCATAATACAGGTAACATCACCAGCAACAGCATTGTTACTAACAGCATCACATCTACCAGCCCCACAACCACCAGATCTTCACCCCAATACTGTTAATTCACTAATTATCCCAAAAGCTTAAACTGTCAGAAAATGGGTCCAACAATGTATAACACGCTATTTAACACCCTCCCTCATGTGCAACTCCATCTTGCATGTGGAGATGCAACATACATACATACGAAAGAAAGAATGCAAACGGAGAGATTTGAACCCAAGTCCCACCCCAACCTAAGCTCAAATACCATGTTAAGTCACCAATTGTCCCAAAAGATAAAGTTATTAGGAAACGGACCCAACAATATATATATATATATATATATCAAGCTATTCAACAACCACGCACTATAGTCTCATATTGCACTCCTACAATACCATGAGATGCATGCTTTCTTTCCAGTTTTGTCCAGTCTTTGCATGTCAATCCACCACACATGCTATTCACTTCTATTTTAAATTTTGTTATAATCAAAAAGTAGGGAAAAGCATGTTTAGATAATAGTCATGCAAAAGGAATATTTAGTAGGAAACTGTATTTGGTGTGGTATGAGGGCATAGCATGTTTGAGGTGACGAGACATTAAAGAACTTCTGGCAGTGGTGACAGAATTTCAACGAAAAACAACATTTTTTTATTTCGCCAAAAAACTACTCTCTTCTCTTATTACAGAAAATACTTCCAATGTGCATTACCAAACCTAACTTCGATGTTAGCTTTATTTTCTTCACTAAGTATTCTTAAGATACAATGTAAACTGTTTTGCAAGGGCAACGTCTGTTGAGTTTAGATACATTTGCTATTACTTCAGAATTTATAAAACAAGGCCTGCCATTATATTCAAGAATAAAAACTTCATTAATTTTTTACTAGCAAGCATCCTATGTTCGTTGGAAGGGAGAAAAAAAAATAAGAAAAGGTAATTTTGTTGTGAAGAATCACTCACACCATCCAAACAAAAAAATAAGAAAAGAAAAGAAAAAGAAGGTTTACTTACATTGTTCAACTCTTAGCTACATTATTTCCAAAAAAGCACCTTAGTTATTTCATGATTTAATTTCACATTCATGTAAAAGCTTATACGTAGTCCGCTTTATAGATAAAAAGTAATATGGAAAGACAAGACCAAGAATTTCTGAAGAACTCTGTACTGTACTTAAGCCAACAATAGTCATTATATATAAGCCATGATTTTTTTACCAATAGCTTTGTAGTTGACCATGAAAAAAACTCCTGACCCACAAGTTACACATTATATACTTCATGATGACATCAAGTTCATTGACATCAGAATTCTATTCAGAGATCACAGTAATGTTGTATCTTTCCTTTCAAAGCTAGTCCTACCAGGGGCCCCCGATTTTGTGTTTTTTCTTTCAAAGCTAGTCCTACTAGGGGCCGTTTTGGTATGCGTTTCCCTATTTTGAAAGCCCTTAAGAAACTGTTAGAATTTACCATCACCTACCACACACTTACCATCACCTACCACACACTCACCTACTACACTCACCTACTCCTCACCTACCACCACCTAACCTACATCTATATAATCAATCAATTGTAACAGAATCAAAATCTATCAATACACATTCTTTCCTTTTATCTATACACGTTATAGATTAAATCTTTCAATACATGTTATAGATTAAATCTTTCATGGTATCAGAGCTAAGTTAACCACATAGTAATTTCGCTTCACCGGCGGGCGGCAGTCTCGCCTTGGCCGCCCGCCGGACGATGAGAAAACTAAGCACATAACATGTCTGTCATACCTCCCAGTTTCGGTCCTCCGCGGCCGCTTCCGCCGCCGGTGATTATGGACAGCTCAGTTGCACCTTCCAACAATGGCCAACAACGGCCACAATCGGTGCCACTATGGTCTCCTCATGTCAAACCCATAATTGTTGCCTGCCAGTGAAACATGTCTTCAGCACAGGACCATCTATCACCTCTGGCTTCTTCTTTGGAACTTCTTCCTCATCCATTCCATCAAACATTCTCAATGGCGTTGCAAGACTTCTCACTGTTGGATTAGGCTTAACCAACCCATGCTTTCCAACTCACGATGAGAAAACCCATGCTTACTTACTAGAGTTAAAGTCACACAAATCCAAACCACGCTCAAACCACTTCCTTCACCGCCGCCGGAGTATCGGCAGCAGGAACAGCGATATAGCCCATCTTCTTCGGGTTCACATCATCAGCACCATCAAAATCATCCTCTGAATCACGGAATTCGAAGCTGTTGGGATCGGCGAACAGAGACCAGATCAGGTAACGAGTTCCGGCAGTTCCGGCAGTGATGGCGCCACAAGCGACGCCTAACATCAGAGAGCATTACTTTCGCGACTCGATCTTCTTACTGTGTGTGATTCGATCAAGTGATTTGTGATGTCGACCACTGTTGAAGGTGAGAATCCTACTGTTGAGGTGCAGATGGAGGAGGTCGTAGTGGCGGAGCAGTCACAGCCGGCGGAGAAACCTGTTAAGGAGAAGAAACCTAGGGTTCCGAAGGAGAAGAAGCCCAGAGCTCCCAAGATCGCCTCTCATCCTCCATACTTTCAGGTAATTCACCATACGGTTCTCCATCTGTATCTGTATCTGTATGTGTTATGTTTTAGGTTTTGAATAATTTTTTGCTCTGATTTTGTTTGATTGTAGCTCTGTTATTTGATTTATTTATTTCTTTTGTTGTTGCTTTACATGCTTATGCATTAATTATGCGTTTTCTGACGCGTTTTCGCGATATTGATTCTCAAAATCTCGAACTTGTATTGAAATTGCGTAGAATTTTCGAATAATTTTTGCTCTGATCTTGTTTGATTGTTTTGTGTTGCTTACGTGTTTATGCGTTAATTATGCATTTTCTAGTGCGTTCTCACGATTTTGATTCTCAATTACGCGAACATTAATTGAGACTGTTTGACGATTTCATGAGAATTATGCGATGCAGATGATCAAGGAGGCTCTGTTGGCTCTCAACATTGATTACAACAAGCAGCGTTGTTTTGTTTGTATAAGTATAATAACCAAAGGGCATTAACCCCTTTCTTTTCTAGCCTCAAAATTTGTTTCCCAAATTATGAATTTAAAGTTTGCAATCAAGACTACCCTTCTTGAGCTTGGAAATGAATTGGTTCAAAGCTGCATGACATGAAAGATTGGTCAACAATTGGCATAAGAAAAAGCTTGTTGCTTTTCAAAGCAAAATATTTCATTTCCCCATAATACAGGTAACATCACCAGCAACAGCATTGTTACCAACAGCATCACATCTACCAGCCCCACAACCACCAGATCTTCACCCCAATACTGTTAATTCACTAATTATCCCAAAAGCTTAAATTGTCAGAAAATGGGTCCAACAATGTATAACACGCTATTTAACACCCTCCCTCATGTGCAACTCCATCTTGCATGTGGAGATGCAACATACATACATACGAAAGAAAGAATGCAAACGGAGAGATTTGAACCCAAGTCCCACCCCAACCTAAGCTCAAATACCATGTTAAGTCACCAATTGTCCCAAAAGATAAAGTTATTAGGAAATGGACCCAACAATATATATATATATATATATATCAAGCTATTCAACAAGCACGCACTATAGTCTCATATTGCACTCCTACAATACCATGAGATGCATGCTTTCTTTCCAGTTTTGTCCAGTCTTTGCATGTCAATCCACCACACATGCTTTTCACTTCTATTTTAAATTTTGTTATAATCAAAAAGTAGGGAAAAGCATGTTTAGATAATAGTCATGCAAAAGGAATATTTAGTAGGAAACTGTATTTGGTGTGGT